CAATAATGTTGTATGGTGACAGATGGTAGTGACAGATGATATTTGTGGATGAGCAGAGCATAACATATAGTCTTTGTTATGTATATGTTGCACACCTGAAACTAATGTAACATTGTGTGTCAACTATCCTTCAATTAAAAAAAACACTAAAAAAAAAGTGAACAGTCTGACATGGTTCCCACACTCAAAGGTTGCAACCTAGTCAGAGAATGATATAGATCCTTCCTTGAACAACCATAATAAAGAATGATGAGTTTTGATATTAGGCACATGAGATAGCAACTCCATCCCTTCACAGTCAGTGAAGTTCATTAGACTTTTACTGATTTTCTGTGGTGTGTAAAGCATAAGAGATACAAAGATTACTGAGATGTAGTCTCCATTCTTTGGGGAGGGAAGGAGACTGGTATGTTTCATCAAACCAGTTTCCTGTGCTGCCTGGGCACACAGTAGACATTTCCCAACCTCCCTTGTGGTGAGTCACTGAGGTGTGGCCAAGGCAATGTGAGCATAAGTAATGTATGCTACTTCTATTCCTTACCTATAAGAAACCTCCATGCAATACAACACATACCTTCTCTTTTCCTGTCCAATGCCTGGAAACTAAGAACTTTTAAGGTCTTATGGGATGACAAAGCCATAACATAAAAAGAATTTGGGTTCCTCAATCCCTGAGTAGAATGCCATCAGCTGAACACCTGATTGGATTTTACATGAGTAGAAATAAGCTTCTACTATGTTAAGGTACTGAGATTTGGGAGTTTATCTATTATAACAGTCAGTATTACCTTAAGGCAATTTAATTATGGTGGGAGAAATGCAGGCGCAGAGTTGAACGGGGAGAGGAGGTCTTGCCCAGCGTGGCAAGGGGTCAAGTTGGCGCGAGCCAAGCTGCTCATGCTGTTTGACAAAGTCCAAATATGGGGGACGATCCTGAAAACAGGAGACTCCACAGCGGGCTCCTGCTATTCTCTTTCATTTTGTTTATGGCAATCTTTATAATTGTGGGAATATTTCTGGGGTTTCATGATACAGTGACTACTCATCTTAATTACGCCTATCCAAGCAATCATAATGAAACTAATTCCACAAGGCCCCCCAGGCGCCTCAGAAGTGGCAAGAGTCTAAGAAAGGAACAGCTCAGGCTGTTCCACAGTTCACTATATCTCCTGCGCTATAGAACAAAATAGCAAGACGGTCACGCTCTGTCTGGCACCTTTCTCTTTGCGTATTGTTTTTTAGTTTTAGCAAAAGTTAATAAGCGGAAATCAATAAAGGTCATGTTAATCATTACAAAGGAAAAATAAAAGAAGGCTATGTCTGTAATCAAAAAAATGATCTAAGATTATCCCAATCAATTGTGAAAAATCATAATCACATGTTACGAAAGTATGGAAAAACAAAAATATCCTAACATATAAATAAAGTTCCTCTGAGGCTGTCAGGAGGAGATGCTTGCAACCTGATCCTGTGTCTGTGTCTCCTCATTCGCCGACGCCGTCCTTTCCTACGAGAGACCCACCCCGGCTGGAGCTGGACTCCGGCATCAAGTGATACTTGAATCAAATCTTGAAAGATTACTTAGCCTTGTAAAATAATAAAGACCATTACAGGCAGAAGAACCACATGATTAAAGGATGAGCATGTAGGGAATTCTATGCACATTTATATTAATTAGAGTATAATGAGGATAATGGTGCAAAAATGGGGAGCGGTCGGAGGAAAATGGAGATAAAAACCCTGAATGAAAATCCTTGGGTCACTGCCTCCTAGTTGGGCCATTTTGGGCAAGTTACTTAGCCAGTCTGGATAGGTTTTTTTCCCAACTGTAAATGGTGATAATGGCTATGTCACAGAAAATCTTAATATAGTATTAAGTACATCAGAGTCCCAATAAAGTACCCCCCCATGCTTTATCTTCCTTTTATAAGATTTTTCTTGAGAAAAAAGCATACAAATACTGTACTGAAAAGCACAGATAAGGGACACTGCCAAATTCAAGCCTTTTAGTCCTTCATATAAACTGTAGAAAAATAAAATAGATTTCTAAAAAAGGTAAAGAGCTTTTGTTATATGGACAAGAGATACTCAATGACTTTAGAAGGCTGTTAAAAGCTCTTTAAAACTTATCATAATTGTACTCTTCTTAACATGTATGACACATGACTACAAAATACTGAGAACACTTCCTCATTACACAAGTGCATATATAGGTAGCTCCATTTCCCCACATACAATGCTCCTAGGCTGTGTATGGAAAAAGATATAAAACCTTTTCTCCCAGAGGACAGATCTGTTCTATCATTGGTGTTTGTGTGCTGACCAAGAGTCACTGGCCTACCAGTTATCAACAGGGCTAGTAAAGAGTAAATAGATATTCAGCAATCCTTTGTTACAGAACATATTCTGTAGATGTTTTAAGTGAAGAAGTATTTTATGTTACATTTGTAGAGCAAGAGAATTCAGAGATAATCTAGTCAACGAGTAACAAACTCAAATACCTTCAGGGGCCAAACTCAAATGTGGGTGGGGGGTCTATGGCAACTGCAGAGGGTGGAGTCTCACCGAAGGCATTCACATCACTGCAAACTCCCGAATCTAATTTCATGGTTTCATTTCCCATAAAAAGAAATGGAAGAGATCCAGCTTAGGTGACAGAGGCCACAGAGCAAACATATTAATCAGTCAGTACAGAAAATTGAAACCACTTCAGGGATTTTAAACAGGAAGAGGTTTTACACAGGAAATTAAGTGAATTATTTAAAGGCTAGAGAATGTTGAAAGGGCTAGAAGTGCAGGTTCTAGACTGGGCCTCCAGGAATGACATCTAGAACACTAGCAAATGAACCACTGAGGAATGTACTATTTTTGCTACAGTCTGAAAGCCCTCCAAGGACTATGGAGTTCAAGAACACCACTGTAGCTGTGACCCCGAGGAAGCTGGGATCTGGACGCTGCCTGGACAAGGAACAGAATATGTTCACCACTTCCCTCAACTGCTTCTTGACAGCCACAGAGCTGGTGATATGACATGACAATGCTGAGTCTGGCTGTCACCACGGCTGTTAAGTCCCTCCCCACACCCACAGTCTGAAGACTAGGACTGGCATCTCCTGGACCTTCCCTGCCAACAGCAAACAGCCAAAAATAGCAGGGAGATGGCCTGTGCCTCACATCTGCTTTTGAAATTTCAGACAAGTTCATCTACTTGCCAGACTCTAATTTTACATCTAATTTACATCTAGAACTCTAGTTGGAATGGAGTCTAGGAAGTTTTTAGCTTCCCAGTTTGTTCTGTACATGAAGGCATACTAGAAGCGGGTAGGAATAGATGTGAATGCCAACCTTCTATATCCAGCACAGCAACTTTTGGAGTAGGCTCCAAGACAGACCTACATCACTGACTTTTTCCCACTTCTATAGAAATCCTTAAAAAAAAAAAAGGAAAGGGCGCCTGGGTGGCTCAGTTGGTTAAGCGACTGCCTTCGGCTCAGGTCATGATCCTGGAGTCCCGGGATCGAGTCCCGCATCGGGCTCCCTGCTCGGCAGGGAGTCTGCTTCTCCCTCTCCCACTCCCCATTTGTGTTCCCTCTCTCGCTGTGTCTTTCTCTGTCAAATAAATAAATAAAATCTTTAAAAAAAAAAAAAAAAAGGAAAAATCTAGTCATTAGGGTTATAATTCTAAAGATCTTAATATTCTAGAAAATATATTATGTGAATCAGCCACTTTGCTCACATCAATAGTATAGCATGAATCACACTACCTAATTACTTAAGAATATTCTGATTGGTGCTGAATGGCAGAAACTATTTAATTCATATTTGTATTTCTTGTCCCCATGCCTGCTTGGCCCAGAGAAGACACACAGGTATTTGCTAAAGTGAAATGTTTCAGGGGCGCCTGGGTGGTAGGTTAAGCGTCTGCCTTAGGCTCAGGTCATGATCCCATAATCCTAGGATCAAGTCCCATATGGGGCTCCCTGCTCAGCAGGGAGTCTGCTTCTCCCTCTCCCTGCTTGTGCGCTCTTTCTCTCTATCAAATAAATAAATAAAATCTTAAAAAAATAAAGTGAAATGTTTCATTCTTAGTTTAGAGAGAAACAGTAAACCAGAATTTTAGGACAGCAGTTTGTAGCAGCAATGATGTCAAGTGGAGGCCCCCTTATAGAGTGGAGGAATGGGGTGTCAGTCTTTCAGTGAAAACAGAGGTTGACCAAGGCTCAGTCAGGTATCTGCCTTCTCTCTGTCCGCTGGTGTCCGTTTCTTGGCAGGAAGCTAAAGGAAATGGTGGCTTTCTGATATTAATCTTTTAGAGCAACAAACCACGAGAGTCTAGGATGAGATAACAAGCCGATGGCTGATAAGTAAAAAAAGCCACAGTGTGCCCTTTGAGCAGGCGCTTATATTCTCCAGTCAGTAGGATCTGATGGTTTTCAGTACCTTCGCGTTGCTAGCGTAGCCCACAGTAGCAACACCCTCTGGTTGATTTGAGAACTAAAACACAAACAAGAAAAACACGCTCTGGGCCCTTAGTGTCCTCTGAGGGCTACTCACCTCGCCGTCTCCAGCGCAGGAAGGGTGGGGAACAGAGTAAAATGTCTGCGGGAGAGCCTGGTCCAGCCACGCCCGCGGGCTCTCCAGGCAGCGCATCTCCCCAGGCGGAGCCGGAGGCTGTGAAACATGCAGATACCCGGGCGCTGGGCGTGCCGCGGGCTTCCGAGGCTCCGCCTTCCCCGCACGCGCCGGGAGGCCCCGCCGAGGGAGGTCTGGCCAGGCGGCGCCGGAGTGATTCCCCGCGCAAGCCCGGGCGGGTTCCGGCCCAGCGCGGCCGCACCGCGCGCCCTCCGCTGGGTCCCCGCTCTGGCGGCGCGCGGCCTTCCCGGGAGGGGGAGCCCGGCGGACCACGGGCCCACTTCCCGAGACCTCGGCGCGGCCACGTGGTGTGGCAGTGGTGTCGGGCGGCCGGCCCCGGGTGCCAGGACCAGCGCGTCCCCCAGGGAAACTCGCGGGGAGCGCGGACCCCGGCGACGACGAGACCCGCGTTAGGACGCGCAGCGCCGGCTCTTCTGGAGCCAGGAGTGCAGGCCAGACAGCCAGTTACAAGGTTTAACGTTCCCTAAACCAATTTCTACATTTTGGGTTTTAACTCCACCTTTCAGATGTGCTTTTTACAAGTGTCTTCTCAGATGCGGTGGGAAGACAGGATTCTTTGGGTGACCAATTCGGTGGGATAAAACACTTGTCCTCCCCCCACCTTTTTTATTGCTTCTTTAACACTGAGCCCTTCTTACCGCATCATTTTAGATTTTAACCTTCCCATCAGCAGTTTCTTTTTTCCTTTAAAACTCTCTTTCCTGTATATTTCCGCCCTCCAAGCGAGTGTGTGTATATGCGCGTGCCCCTTTCGGGGTAATTTTCATTTCCTTCAGGAATAAAAATTGTCTTACCTGTTTTTCACTCCTTGGGCCAGTTTTAATCATTTCAAGCAAGAGGGACAACGTCAAGGAAGTGTCTCCACCAGATAGAAACCACTCATTCTTGTCTCTCAGGCCCTCCTTTGTGAGTAGTATGGATGAACCTACATCCATCCAATAATCTTCAGAGCATCTAAAGTGATTACTGTATTTTCCTAAACTGCTCTTCCTCTCCTAAAGCTTGCAGAAATTTCTAGTGGTATCCAGCTTCCTCTTACCCCAGGAATGGAATATATTTTTCCTTTTCTTTTAGTCATATGATCTTCATTGACTCATCACCCCATCTGATTAACATGACTTTGGAGAACATTGAACTGTTTGGTGAGATTTTACCTCTGCTTTTATTGTTTATAATGTTTTATCGTTTATAGTTAGCTAAAAGAACTAACTCTGGGGAAGCCTTTGTTAATGTTAGAATTCATTTTGTAGAATTCATCCTGTGTTTATTTAGAATTCATTTGTCATAGCTATACATACACATGTATACTCGCTCACAGCATAAAGTACTTCATAACATACTTGTAAGCTTCAGTGTTCCATCACTTCACTTGATGAGAAGTTACAGCATTTTGATTATGAAACACCAAAAAAACCAAAAACAAAAAACCCCAAGTCATTTGGTCCAACTCCCTAATTTCACAAACCAGAAAACTAAAATCCAAGGTCAATTGGGTGACTTGGTCTAGGTCACAAAACAAGCTATCTGTGATGCAGTTGTGGACTACCTGGTCCAGAACCCCAAAGGCTAATCTTATAATCAGGGACTCTTCAGGAATGCTAGTCAGTATATTCTTTGCTGTCAATTTTAACTCTATTTCATCAACCACATAATATTCTTCCTCACATATGTTATCCTTTTATTGTCCATTTCAAAATTTTCCTTGTTAATATGAATTAATATTAATTATAAATTAAGGTTCTAAAAGGAAAGACTAAGAATAAATGCTCATTTATTATCTATATGTACATCATACCATTTGATCTTTTGAAGTAGCAACAAATAAAAAACAAACATAAAACCCTAAAACTAAAATAAGAAAAACTTCTTCCTAATCTCTTATAGAATTATCATCCACAATTTGCTTAAGCTTTTTTTTTTTTTAAAGATTTTATTTATTTATTTGACAGAGAGAGAGAGAGCATAAGCAGGGGGAGCAGCAGAGGGGGAGGGAGAAGCAGACTCCTGGCTGAGCAGGCAGCCCAATGAGGGGCTTGATCACAGGACCCCGGGATCATGACCAGAGCTGAAGGCAGACGCCTAACTGACTGAGCCACCCAGGTGCCCCACTTAAGCTTTTTCATGAAAAAAAAAAAAAAAAAACAAACAACAAAACCCAACAACGTTGTAACCATTTTTTAATTGAATTATAATTAACATACAATGCTGTATTAAGTTCAGGTGTACAACATATTGATTCAATAATTCTATACATTATTCAATGCTCACCATGATAAGTGTAGTCACCATACAATGTTATTACAATACTATTAACTATATTCTCTATGCTGTACTTTTCATCTCTGTGACTTATTTATTTTATAACTGGAAGTTTGTATTCCTTAATTCTTTTTCTATTTCATCATTCCTTGAAAATTTTATTTTCTTTAATTTTGTTTCCTATTATATGATTCACTTATATTTATTTACCCAGAGACTGTTTCTAAATTTCATGTCCTCTTACTATTAACCTGGAATTTGGTGAAAAAAAATATCTACATTTAACCTAAAAAATATCACTCAAATTGCCAATACTGCTAGTTCATTATAAGTTTCTTAGGCCCATGCCAAATATCATTGCTTATTTTAAGAAAGATTTTTTACTTAAACTAAGAAGACAGTACTTAATTTTGAGTGATAACATCCGTTAAGTATAAACACTTGATTATTTTTCTTTTATATAATTGATCAACAGTATAGTTCCGAATCTAAAGTCCTTTTAATGTAAGGTCCTGAAGCCAAATTCCTTCCTACCTTGTTTTCATTTATAATGGTGTAAAATTTTAAAATTAGTATCCATGTACAGACCAATGCAGAATTGTACAAAATAGTTGAATAATTTGAAATAGAAGTAAAATACAAATTAATACCTTTTTCTTAAAAACCTTCCATTTTTCATATTCCCATTTTAATTTTATATGCTTGCAAATTGTGGTTTATTTTAAAACTATTCATTTGCAGTGAGTTCATTGTCTTTTATGTCATCTCCCTACAATGATTTCAGAAGAGGTTAGAAAGAGATTAATATATTTAAAGAATCTGATTCTTGTGAACAATGACATAATTAAAAAGGGCTTGTTTTCATTAATATGCCATTAATAGGAAAGACATGAGGGGTGAATTTTCTTCATAACCAGGTTCACTGTGGACAGGAGAGGCCTGCCTTCCCAGCAAAGAGATCAAAATCACAAGCTCCAGCCTCCATCAATGATGACAGGATTACCTGTTACATAGGCAGACTGCAGTGATAAACACAAGGAGACAGAACAATTAACCAGGTTTAACACAGGTTGTGTTTCAATTTTCCCCTGACTGAGATAGCTAAACAATGTATTCATGGTAATAGGAATACTCACCTAACAAACATTTTAGGAAAATCTGAATTAAATTTTGGATGATTTGAAACAGCAGCATGTTCTTGTGATCTGGAGTTAACTGGCCTCTGGCTAGTGTTTTAGCACAAAAGTCACATTCTAAGCAGGTTTTTGGTGTCAGAATCAGAAAATTAAGTTTAGTGATATGCAGCCACTCCCTAAATTAGGATAAAGTATAGGCTAAAATACTACATTTTCATTTTGAAATTCAGAACTATTCTAAAGTAGCTGAGTTTTATGCCATTAATAAATTTTTGAACATCAAGTGTCTGTCATAAAGTGGTCATGTCAATTACCAAACAGAATTTTTTATATAAGATATTTTATATTTAGTTGATCGAAATACATAGGTATTTCCAGGAGCTGAAGCACCCTAAATGTGTCTTTAAAATTTATATGAATAATAATTATTACATCTGTTAAGCTATGAAAAAATATTCTACACTAGTTTCAGATATCCAAATCTGTACAAAACTAAGGGAATTTAAAAAATTACTTTTTTTTCCATGGAATTTTTCGTTTTCCAAAGAAATAAAGCTGAAATAATCCTTGTGGTAGGGGTTTAAAAATCTTTTAACTTAAGCGTGGATAGTAACTTTGTGTTCTTACTTTTACATTTATCTAAAGCCTGAGACAATGGAAGAGGCAGGAAGGAAAAACATAGTATGAGAACAGAAATTTTTAAACTTCAATCTATGAAAACTGATCAAATACAGTAGATAAACTAGGGGGTTATCAGACACTTTACCAAGAAACGACCCCAATTCCTCAAAGTTTTTTTTTTTTTTTTTTTTAAAGCAAGCTTTCTGTTACACATATAGGACTCCTCTGGGTTCCTCTAAAAGTCCAAAGGTCTTTTGATTGCACATTTCAAGGCAGAACATTTCCAAATATTTGGTAACCTAAGCTCTGGCTAAACAAGGGCAGTTTAGCTCCTCAGCAGCACCTCCAAATCAAATGAGCTCTTCTGTAGATACAGAGTCAGAGAGACCACAAATGCCAATAAACTTGTTCTATTAGTAATTTGTTTAGCAATTACTGCAGCGACTAACAACTGTCGTTAACAGTCCCGAGAAGTGGTAACTTCTATCACTAAAACATTTCAACCACTGTATTTGTCACATTCACCAACCGCCTGGTGTGTACCAAGTTACTGTAAAGAAGAGCTAACGCATCAGCAACACACCTCCTCACTTCTACCTGGGTCCCTTTCTTCCTCTCTCCTCATACACTGCAGTTCCCTGGTCATGTAACATGCAAATACATAAAACAGAGAGGGATGTTCTTGTGCTCTGTACCTTATAAATGTAGCTTCTGCTTTTGTAGTTGAGTGCCATTTAAGAATATATACAATAGCCATAAGGAAGAAACTGGTTACTAAATAGTTGCAAAGTGGAAAGAGATAGAAATAGGAATTTCTGTACGTGATGACAAACAAGAATTCATAGAAAAAAAGAGCCAGTAGGATTCTCTTAAACTAAAAATACCAGATGCCAATTCTGTGTCTTCTAGAGACAATTACATCTGTTTAACTCTCTCCCCATTTCACCTGAAGCTCTCATAATTTTGGAGGTTCATTTCTTGACTTACGTTTAGTCAGGCTTTCCCCAATTATAATATTTGAAAGCAACTGTCTCATAAAATTGAGCAATTTAATTTTTTCAATGCTCCATGTCATTTGCTACAAGATTTAGTGACATGTAGTGTTGAATGAGGAAGAGTTGGCGGCTCAGATCACGTGGTCTGTGTTTGAGCAAATTAAATCACAACTTACACCTATCTTATAAATGCAACCTCTTAGCATATATATGTTGCAACTCTCTAACATGACATTTTGATAAGCAAATCGTGGCCAAATGAGGATAATGAACTCCCTGGGAAGAATAGTGCTTACTTCATCAGAAGCTAAGTACACACACAGCAGGGCTATTTCTTCTGGGGTTGCAAATCTTCCAGTCTTCTGTCTCTTCAGGAAATAGTTCCGTGCCTAAGACAAGAAACCATACCAGGTATCAGTAATGTGAGGTGAAGTGTGAACTCCTCAGGAGGTCAAAGACGAGGAATCTATAGAGGTTCCAGTGGCGTGCTGCCTTGATTAATCATGTATGATACATGAGAATATCATTAATATCATTAATTGTGGACCAAATAGGACTATGGTGACTTTCAAGATACTCAAACTATGTGTTATGTTAAACCTACACACACTATCAGATCAGTTAAAGAGGAGGGCTTTTTTTTTTTTTTTAATTTTTGAAACTGATAAAATACACATAATGTGTTATTTATCATCTTAACCATTTTTAAGTGTAGTGTTCAGTAGTGTTAAGTACATTCACATTATTGTGCAACAGATCTCTAGAACTCTTTTCATCTTGCAAAACAGATACTCTATACCCATTAACCAATAACTCCCTCTTCTCTCCTCCCCCAGCTCCTGGCAGCCACCCTTCTCTCTGTCTCTATGAATTTGTCTACTCTAGGAAAGGAAGAGGACACTTTTCAACCAGAAGATTTCAACACAATTTTTTTTTTTTGTTTTAAAGATTTTATTTATTTATTTGAGAGAGAGAGACAGAGAGAGAGCATGAGAGGGGGGAGGGTCGGGAGGGCCAGAGGGAGAAGCAGACTCCCTGCCGAGCAGGGAGCCCGATGCGGGACTCGATCCAGAGACTCCAGGATCATGACCTGAGCCGAAGGCAGTCGCCCAACCAACTGAGCCACCCAGGCGCCCCAACACAATTTAAAATAGTAGATATACCTCTTCGGGATTTGGTCTGGCTTGTATTCTTTCTTGCAGAGATGGGCTATCAACCGTTCCTAAATCAAAGGGGGACATTTAGCTTGGTTAATTACTCAAACTGAAAAAGACATTGACAAACTTTAAACTTCTTTCAATATGACACAACCATCAGTGAAATCCTTCTTCATGACTTTGAATGATAATTTCACCTTCATTTTCTATGATTTTTAAAAATACAGATCTTAATTCCTTGTGACATGAGGCAAGGACTCTGGGTGAATTGCCCAGCATTCCTGAGACATTTTAGTCACAGTACATTGACATGACACTTTATGGATTTTAAGCACTTTTACATGTATTATCTCAGTTACTCCTCAGAACAACCCTGAGATGTCCATACATTCATATAAGTACTTCACCAGTACAAGATCCCAGGATGCCTTAATGATCTCAAAACCATTCTTTGCTGTCAGGTTCACTCTGGGGATTCTCAGAGATGGTGCCATGCTTGTCATGGTCCTCAGTAATTTAGATGGTTCTACATTTTCCTCATTATCTTGCCTATTTTCATTGGTTTTGAATTCCTCTTTTTAACCACAGCTTCATGTTTCTCATAAAAAATATAATGCTAAAATTTTTTAAAATCCCGCTTGGTTCAAGCTCCCACAGAGCAAGTTGCCCAGATTTTTTTATTAATTTATGTCATCTGTGAATTGTCTTTAGAAGGCCTTTTCTGTGGGGGGCTGACAGTTCTCTGGGCAACCACATGATACCTGTAAGGTCATAACAAATGATTTTACAGTCATACCCTCTGGTCCTGAGAGTGCCATTGGGTCAATGTTTACCAGGAAACCATTTCTCAATTTTAGCATCATTTGTCATTTCTCTGGAGAAGGTGGGAATCTTCAAAGTCAGAAAGTTCTGGCTCCTTTGTGTTTAACACCATTTCTTCAGGTCACCTGTCTCCTTTCACATTTCACCATAAGTGGGCAGCCCTTTCGACACTCAGGGTAGGAAACTGCCTTTACTAGATCACCCAGTTCATTAGGAACATTTTCTACCTTCCACATCACTGTGGGCAATAGTGTTGATAAACTTTCTGGAGCCACGTAACAAAGATTCCCTTGTACCCAGCTTCCAATAATATTTTCTTCACTTCTCTCACCCATAGCCTCCTAACAGCCCAGGATCCTACCAACAGTATGCTTAAGACACCTAAGCTTTCACTTAACAATATCCTCAAAATCCAGTTTTAAAATACAACTTTGATACCTTCCTACCACTCAGACAAGTGAGCATCATCTCTTTCATATGGCTGCTGTAAATGGCTATTAACTGAAACCACAGAGCAAGCCTATGCTTTCTACTTAGTTCCACTGTCCTGCTCCACTGTGTCCGTGGCCCAGACTGACACGGCGTGCCCCCGTCTACACAAGCCTGGTGTGGAAGAGTTGTGACTACACCACCATCAGCACCATCCCAGACACACTCATCCCTTGTCAGGTTTTCTCTGTGACTGGCTCTTGAGTCATAGCTAGTTCCTTGTTCCAGACAGTTTGATAATATATTTTCCAATCTTCTGAAAAGTCCAGCTGCTAAAAACAACTACATTTTCCAAATCATTTTGCCATTTATTCCACTGGGTAAATGGTACCCCAAATAGCTAGAGTCAGGTGTCACCAGTGGCTATGTTAAAACCCAGTGAAATCGTCTTGCCTATATCCTCTTTTTTCTTGGTGTTACCTAGGTTTACCCTTCTAGTCCAAGAAAACTTAGAACACCTCAGTCATGGATAATCTGCAGCTTGAAGGGTATTCTGTATTCCTCTTTTAAACTGATAAGTCAGCAAGGGGAGACCATGGTGGAATATATAAAAATCTTGCGTGGAACTTTCCAAATGACACATGGTTTTCCCCATCAACTCTTTCCCCAGATTCTAGCATGCACTTTAGGTTTCGAAAAGTTCCATGGGTAACTGCGAAATGCTTCTTCTCTCCAACCCCCCAATACCAGTTGTGAACCCCTGAGGGCCGCCTTGATCCTGGAAATGTGATATTTAAATCCTTTTCAGAGAAGCAGCTAGTAATTCTTCTTAGGCTCCCTTTTGGGTCAGTGGAACCCAGTGGAAGGGCATATCTACTTCCTAGACATACCCACAGTTATTAAGAAAATAAGTTATTCCTATGAAATAAGTTACAGAATGCTTTTGTTTGGACAGATCGAATGTCCTGTCTACTAAGTTCTGCTTTTCTTCTTTCCTTTCTATGGGAGGTCAGCATACATTTTGGTAAAAAGCCAGATAGAGAAGGATAGCCTGGGTGGCTCAGTCGTTAAGCATCTGCCTTCAGCTCAGGTCACGATCCCAGGACCCTGGGATCGAGCCCCGCGTCGGGCTCCCTGCTCTGCGGGAAGCCTGTTTCTCCCTCTCCCACTCCCCCTGCTTGTGTTCCCTCTCTCGCTGTCTCTCCCTCTGTCAAATAAATAAATAAACTCTTAAAAAAAAA